ATTTTGTATTTTTTGGGTAAAGGTAAGTTTACAAAAAAATAAAAGTACAACCTAAGAGATGGGAATCATCCCTAACTAAAGCAGTACCTTGGACAGACCCCAGATACCAACCTACACAAAGAAAACAACCTTTCCATCTTCTGATACGCTATTAGCCCCTTACCTCGACCTCTGCCAGAGCCCTTCCCACCTGACCGTTTCTTATGGTTCATCTCTCCATTAGCCTCTTCTTCACTGTCGTCACTTACATCATCACTGTTCTCTTCCTTCTCTTCCTCTTCCGACTCCGAAGAACTTTTTGATTTTTCCTCTTCTTGGAATTATCAGAAGCTTTAGCAGCACTCTTTTTTGTGGAAACTGGAGTTTTATTTTGTGGTTCCTCGTTCCCTGCAGGGAGAGTAATTCAATATAGTAACGCAACCAACCCAGGTGTCTCACCTTAACCCATAATTTGTATTGGCCACAATCCGCAACATTGCTTCCTATAAGGGGCAGACAAATGACTAAATACAGAAGCTCTTAACATCAGCTTACCTTCACCAGAAGCTTTGCCGTCATGTATATCAGCTGTTAAAAACACAAAAATTAGACAGCTCCCGCACATCAGTAACAAAATTAACAAATAGCAGCTACAAAATAAAAACTTTAAACATTATAATTAATCCAACAGAATCCAAAGCCTAGTTTGGTTCACCCACAATGAAATTTAATATCCAAAATGAAATTTAATAATCCAAAAAGGTTGAGTTAAACATACACCTATGAGGCCCTTTCATGCTTAAAATAACGCTTTATAACTCTAATTCACTAAGTGTCTAATAAAGCACCATTGCTCCTGTCCATATTGAGGCGATGATAAAAATATTGCACTCTACTTTCCATAATAGCGCTAACAGCATTCATGCCCTTTAACAAGAGACTTCATCATAAAGCACCAAATAGCTTTTAAAGAATGCCAATTACATGTTTTCTATCAACTATTACAGAAGAAATACCTGATCAAGTCGGTCACCACAGTTGTTCTATCCCTATATAACCATGGAATGGCCATAACCACATGCAACACTACCAAAAATGAAAAAAAAAAAAAAAAAAAATCATGTCCATACTAAATTTTAAGAATGGGAATAGAGATATTAATAATAATTAATATACTAACGAATACCCACCTCATAACATGCAGCCCTCGAGAATCTACCTTTTTTGGCATGGCTGAAGACCTGAAAACAATAAACACAAATTGAATATTAAGAGAATAAGGGATAAACTTCAAAGACATAAAGCCTAATATGGCAAGATCACATACTTTTGTCCATTAGGGCCGTATCCCACTCTCCATATTGAGCATGGCCAACTAATGCAGGAGAATCAGCACCAACAAAATGTGTGCATGTTGCCTGATCCATCAACGTAATTCAACCACTGAAGAGAAGAGTAAACATTATTACTGCAATAAAAAACTCATTGTACCCAAGCAAGCACCATCATACATACACCAACAAAAAAAAAAAAGGACCACTGGTCAATGAAGACACGTGCAAGACATCTTATCCTCAATCCAATAAATGACAGCTGAACTCTTTTCTAACAGATATTCACCAACCACACATTGACAATTGAAAAAAAAAAAAAAAAAAAGATAAAATTGAAATTCCTTGTAATATATCCAGATCAAATATAACTGAAAAATTGTATCTAGTGACATAAAGTCTCAATATTTGTCCTAATCTTTAGATTAATAAAAATAGGGGGTTGAATGTTGAATCCTTTTTATTTCTATTATTGTTTCAGAAAAAAACAGTATTGTTACTTCCCTAATTATGTTTGTTAATTTCTTATTTTTTAAATTTGAGTTGACATTTATATAGATAATTATTGTAGAGGGAGAGAATATATGTCGACAGTATCTGTATGATATTTCTCTCTTTTCAAATTATATAATTGATCTTAGACGTTTCTTTTTCTGATATAATTTTAGTTCTATAAGAAAAATATTTGTGGCTTCATTTGGTTCATTATTTTGGGAGTTTTTATAATAGTCTTTTAGAAAAAGTTGAGTTGAGTAGTATTCTGAGAAGTTTTTTGTACATTTTATAATAGCATTTTCTGAAAATATTTAGATTATTTTTAACCCCCTATGTTTGTTAATTTAACTAAACACCATTAACAAAAAAAGTTTAAAAATTGTCAAAAACACCCCCACCCACCCACCCACATTTGCTAGATTCTGGCCACCACCGTCGGAAAGTGATAGGAATCTGGCGTAATAGAGCACTGCCAGCTGGATCTGGTAGGTAGTGCGTCGATCTAGCCTTTCTCAACCAGATCCACGGTAGATCTAGCCAAACAACAACCAAGATATAGCCGTCGTCAACGGTCAGATCAGCGCACTATTAGCCATATCCAACTGGTAGTGCACCATTACGGTAGATTCCGACTGCCTTTTGATGGTGGTGGCCAGAATTTGACAAATGTGGGTGGGTGTGGGTGTTTTTTTCAATTTATAAAGTTTTATTTTTGGGGGTGTTTAGTTAAATTAACAAATCTAGGGGGTTAAAATAATATAAATATTAGAATAGTATTGTATTTTAAAGATAATTTTGAATATTGAAACAAATGTGAATTTGGATAAGATAGTGAAATAGGATAGGGAAAAAAAAGTGAACCAAAGGGGCCATGTATATTCATATATTGTTGTTTGAGTGATTACAGTATTTAGGCTTATTACACAAGATGGTGATAACAAATTTAATTAATTATTTGGCAAGAAAGGAACATCATACATTTCCAAGGTTAAAGAAGAAGTTGTGAAGCTTTTGAAAAGCTTATATGTGGAGAAGTTAGATTGCGGTTATTGTCTCTTAAATTCAAAAGAAACCCAGAGTCCTTTCTACTTTACAAAGATAGGATATGCTGGTTGTTAGAAATGGATCTTTTTTGTTGCTTTACTGTATAGACCTTTTGACTTTTGTATAGTGACCTTCTTTACTCTTGTTTATGAATAATATTATGGACACCGACGCTTTATACTGAATTTTTACATCGAATGATATGTCCACTAAATCAGATGAATTATGTATCATGTTAACAAATATTTCGCGAATGAATAGACTTCCATCAAATATGAATGATCGTTCATTATTATTAGAAGATCGTTCATTTGAAATGGACTTCTATTCATATTATATAGATAACTGTTTATTTATAATAGATATCCATTTATAGTTTAAACTAAAATAATTTAACCTAAATTATTTACGAACGTTTATCCTTTCATAAGGACGGTCCGTCCCCTTATGAAGAGGATCTTCCATAGTAAGAGGATGGGCATCCTATCTTTTAATATTAACAAATTTAAAATTTATTTAATGCATTAAGTGTGTGAATCTTAATTGAGTTAAGAGCAAGGAGGACTTGAGCATTAATTGCACCACTTTGACCTATTGAGTTAGCATTGAATAAGAGCAGGCACAAGCAGGACTAGAGCTGAATGCTGTGGTAATAGTGTAATATAAAATTAAAAATTGCATTGAATTGAGGAAGAGGACAAATAAAAATGGAATATTGAATTTAGCAAGAGGACGAATAAAAATGGAATATTGAATTTAGCAATAGACTAATAAAAATGAAGCAGCCAATGTATATGGACGCCCGTCCTTCATTATTTTGCTTTTAAAATTTTGTAGACAAACGTCCATCTTCGTTCATATAAGATGTATATCCATCCATATAATATAATCAAGAGTCTATTAAATATAGGTAAATATTCATAAATATTAAACAGTTATTCATTCATGAAAGACTCTAACATGATCACGTCTAACTGATTATTATATCTTTCGATATAAAAATTTGGTATAAAATTTCGATGTCCGTAACATTACTCTTTTTGGATTTGTCCAAGATGATCCTCCTTCTTTGTATTCTTTTTATTTTTAATGAAATTACTAGTTTACCCAAAAAAAAAAAAATATCTTTATAATATTTAAATCTTTTTTTATTAAGGATGGTTTTCTAAAATTCTGTTATTATATAATATAGGAGATAAGCGACATTGCAATGATACCAACCGCTAAAATTTTGTGTTTTTGTAAAGATGAGTTAAAATTGAAAGCGATACAATGAAGACTACATGTTAAATGGTTTCTTAAAATTCCCCATATAACTATCCATTGAAAGACTCCTTTGGTGCCTACCAGTCGGAGCTATATCTCTACTAGCACGCCTCTTGATACCTTCCCTCTTCTCACTTGAACTGGTCCCCGTCAAATTTCCATTGGCATGACTTTCCACTTCGTTATCACTACTTTCACCTCCATTTGTCTTAGTACCACTAGCTCTGCTATCCAAATCGTTATCCTCGGTACCTTAAATATAAAAAAATAATAATAAAGAAAAGAAAAGTTAATTTTAACCTTTAATTTAAATGGTACTTTGATCATTGTGATTAAAGGGGTGGTGGGACTTGACAATGTTTTTTATTTTTTATCAGCATAAAAGTTAGAATACATGAATCTTAAGAATAAAGTAGTAAGACTGATTAAGTAGATGATGGTACCATGATTATAAAAAAAAAAATTGTTTAATTTAATAAAGAAAATATATTTGTATTATTTTAATGAATTAAGGAGAGAATACGAATCACCTTAGATGGTCGCATGAAGTGGTTGAATATAAACTTTTGAGATATTATTTATGAGATCTTGAGTTTAATTCATCTTAATTACGTGATTGAATAGAGACTCTTAAGGTATTAGCCATGAGATCCTAAATTCGATTCACCTTGATACTAAAGGTTTATCCTATGATTAATTTCAGAGTTATTTTATCATACGGTGTTTTAGTTTTTATTGTAAGTAATAAATTGACTTTTGTTTCAACACCATGAAAAGTAAAACTAGAAAGTTCTCCAATATCTAGAAGCGTCTCATTTCCCTTAGTTTTCAGAATAACTGAAGTCTATTTATTGAGGTTATGGTTTTGCAGAATAACATAGTAGAATGGCATTCCTTACCATCCTTTTCTTTCTTCCTATCTTCCTCTTTTTTCTTATCCAAAGACGCAAAACCCACAAAAATATTCGTTTGCCACCTGGCCCTCGGGGTCTTCCCATAATCGGTAATTTACACCAGTTTGATGGTTCAAAACCTCAAAACGTGTGGAAGCTCTCTCAAAAGTATGGCCCCCTTATGTCTTTGCGTCTTGGTTTTTTGCCAGTCTTAATAGTTTCCTCTGCAAAAATGGCTAAGGAGGTCATGAAGACTCATGATCTTGAATTTTGTAGTAGGCCTGCCTTACTTACTTTCAAGAAGTTATCATACAATTGCTCTGATTTGGCTTTTTCTCCATATAATGATTATTGGAGAGAGATGAGGAAAATATGTGTCGTTCATCTCTTCAATTCTAATAGAGTTAAGAATTTTCGTCCCATCAGAGAAGATGAAGTTTCCCGGATGATTGAAAAGATATCAAAGTCAGTTGTTGCTTCTAAACCCGTTAGCTTAAGTGAGCTAATGATGTTTCTTACAAGTACCATTATTTGCAGATTGGGTTTTGGAAAGAGGTATGAAGATGAAGGAACTGAAAGAAGTAGATTTCATGCTCTACTTAATGAAGCTCAGGCCTTGGTTGCTAGCATCTGTTTTTCAGATTGTTTTCCCTTCATGGGCTGGCTTGACAAACTTACAGGCATGATAGGTCGACTCGAAAACAACTTTAAGGAATTCGACAGATTTTATCAGGAACTCATCGAGGAACATTTAGATCCCAAGGAACCTAAAAATGATCAGGAAGATATAATTGATGTTTTACTTCAAATACGAAAAGAACGAGGATTTAAAATAGATGTTAATTGGGATCAAATGAAAGCAGTGCTTACGGTATTATATTTTTCTTAATCCAAAATCTAATTTCTCAGTTTTTTTTTTATATTTAATTTTTACCGTTATATCTCCAAAAACCAAAATATAATTATTATTCCACGCCCGTAATTTTTGTGTTTTTCATTTTCTTGCAGGATGTATTTATCGCTGGCACTGACACAAGTGCAGCTACTGTGGTTTGGGCCATGACCTTGCTAATGAAGAATCCAAGAGCAATGGAGAAAGGTCAAGAAGAAATTAGATCTTCAATCGGAAATAAAGGTTTTGTAGATGAAGATGATATTCAAGAACTGCCGTATCTTAAAGCCATAGTGAAAGAGACATTGAGACTGCAACCCGTGGCACCATTTCTAATTCCAAGAGAAACAATGGAAAACTCCATCATAGAGGGGTATGAAATACCACCTAAAACACTCGTTTTTGTGAATGCATGGGCAATAGGAAGGGATCCTGAAGCCTGGGGGAACCCAGATGAATTTGACCCTGAGAGATTCATTGGTAGTTCTGTTGACTTTAAAGGTCAACACTTTGAGTTTATACCATTCGGTGCTGGGCGAAGAATTTGCCCAGGATTATATATGGGACTTGCAACGGTGGAGCTTGCCCTTGCTAATCTTCTTTACAAATTTGATTGGGAAATGCCCTCTGGGATGAAGAAGGAAGACTTAGATTTTGATGCTCTTCAAGGTCTTACTAGGCACAAGAAAAATGCTTTGTGTCTTATGGCTAGACATATAAATAACAGGGCAAATTCAGCACTTTGATCTATCAATTAAGTGTTTGATGTAAACGAATTTACCGATCGCTATGTGTAATCGATTCTACACTGGACTGCCGTTCGATTGGTTATAATAATGTTCTTCTTAATTGTTTTCTGCTGGTGCTAATGGCTATGTAATTAATAAAATAAAGTTCTTCTTTGTTACAAATTTCAGTGTGTTCATTTTCTGGTGATAAAAGATAAAAATAAAAAATCCCATTTTCCCTTGTAAAATGGACGGTGAATACCCATCAACATCATCTATATAATATCCTGCCGGCTTATATTATATAGGAACACAAATCATACATAATAATTTCACGTTATTAAACCGACTTGATTAGTTGATTGTGTGTTTTGATTTTTAACTTGTCATGTTATCTATCTAAATCAGTTTTAATGTCACATCAATTATTCAAGTCATTTTTAAAATCACATCAATTTTTAAGTTTAATACTATCTCAATATTTGTCCTAATCTTTAGATTAATAAAAATAGAGGGTTGAATGTTGAATCCTTTTTATTTCTATTATTTAAAAAAAAAAAAAAACAATATTGTTACTTCCCTTATTATTTTACTGGGATATATTTGCTAATTTCTTATTACTTAAATTTGAGTTGACATATATGTAGACAATTATTGTAGAGTGAGAGAATATCGACTGTATCTATATGATATTTCTCTCTTTTCAAATTATATTATTGCTCTTAGATGTTTCTTTTTTCGATATAATTTTAGTTCTATAAGAAAAATATTTGTATATTCATATGTTGCTATTTGAGTTGTTAGAGTATTTAAGCTTATTACACAAGACGTGATAACAAATTTAATTAATTATTTGGCAAGAAAGGAACATCATACTTTTCCAAGGTTTAAAAAGAAACCATGAAGCTCTTGAAAAGCTTATATGTGAAAAAGTTAGATTGCGGTTATTGTCTCTTAAATTCAAAAGAAACCCCAAAGTCCTCTCTACTTTACAAATATAGGATATCTATTTGACAAGAAAGGAACATCAGACTTTTCCGAAGTTAAAGAAGAAGCTGTGAAGCTCTTGAAAAGTTTATATGTGGAGAAATTAGATTGCAGTTATCTTCTCTTAAATTCAAAAGAAACCACGGAGCCCTCTCTACTTTACAAAGATAAGATATCCCGGTTGCTTGAAATGGATGTTCTTTTGTTCATTCAAGACAAACGTAAACCCTTGGATTAATCTAACGCTTGTTAGAAATTCCAAAGGTTAAGGACCTAATAATACGATTTCATTAACAAAATTGAGTGCATAAATCTGGTGATAGGGATACTTAACCAACTGAAACCTTTTTCTGATATCAAAATTCTACAAAAATTAGGACGACCACAAACAAATAAATGCTGTCTCCTAACTAGGACCACCTCACCTGATGACGATCGAAATAGAACAAAATAACTTTGGTGTTTGGCCTTCCTATACTACTGTTGATTGAAAATATCCAGTGAGCATTATTTGGTCCCAATACTCCCATAACAGTAGGGGCCTGGTGTTGTCATTGTTCATGAATAATTGCCACTTACAAACAAATAGCCGACGCCCCACTCGTGAACTGCCCTCTTGGCTGTTGGCCTTATTATTGACTGCAAAGTTGTGGTTGGAGGGGGGCTGCCTTTTTCTTGCAGCCCCTCCTCCTGTTGTGTGAATGCGTTTCCTCTTCTGACAGTACAAAGGATTTTTTTGCCTTAGTTATTTACTTATTTGTATACACCCTTATCTGTAAGGGTAATGCTATATTTACAAGTGAGTCACGTTAACCCAGGTGTCTCACCTTAACCCATAATTTGTATTGGCCACAAATCCGCAACATTGCTTGAAATGGATCTTCTTTTGTTGCTTTGTGATGCATACTGTATAGAGTATAGACCTTTTGTATAGTGGCCTTCTTTTATTTATGGTGACCTTCTGCTCTTTTGTCCTTCGGGGCTTGTTTTTCATGTGACTTGCCTCTTTTGTCCTTCGGGGCTTGTTTTTCATGTGACTTGCCTCTTTTGTATCTCTCTTGGACTTGTCCAAGATGAACCTTTTGTGAGGTTCCCATTCTTTGTATTCTTTTTATTTTTAATGAAATTACCGGTATATCCAAAAAAAAAAAAAAAAAAAAAAAAAAAGATCAATAGGGTCCATTTGTTTTAATATTTTTCCCCTATCCTACTCTTATTATTTCCAAAATACACATTTATTTCCCTATTCTAAAAATACTATTATATTTTATTCAGCTATTTTTTAAATCCCCTAAGTTTATTAATTTAACTAAACAACCCCCAAAAAAATTTAAAAATTGACAAAAACACCCCCACCACCTATATTTGCCAGATTCCAGCCACCACCTCGAAAGGTGGTCAGAATCTGGTATAATGGTGTATTACTGGCTAGATCTGGCCGATAGTACATCATATTCCTTTTTTGGCTAGATATACCGTGGATCTAGTCGAAAAAATCCAGATCTTCGGCCGTAGCTAGTTGTCAACGACGACCTAGATATGACTGTCGTTGACCATCTTTTTGTCTGGCCGTCAATGGTCATATCTAGTCATAGATCTGGCCGAAAATGGCCATCTCGGCGCACGACCAGCCATATCCAACCGATATGGCAACTGTGGCCATCCTCCAAGGGTGGTAGCCAGTATTTAATGGATGGGTAGGGGTATTTTTATAATTTTTAATGTTTTTATTACAAGGGTGTTTAGTAAATTAACAAACCTATAGAGTGTTTTTGTTAATTTTTAAATTATACCTTGTTATTCCCACCCAACTCTTACTTTTTCAAAAATACTATCTAAAATACTAAAACACGCACCTATAATATTTAAATCTTCTATTATTAAGGATGGTTTTCTGTTATTATATAATATAGGGGATAAACGACATTGCAACGATACAGACCGCTAAAATTTTGTGTTCTTTAAAGATGAGTTAAAATTGAAAGTGATGCAATGCCTACTACATGTTGAATGGTTTCTTAAAATTGAAAGCTTTCGGTATACATATACACGAAAAATTTAGAGTAATGAATAAGGCACAAACTATTTTCTTTAAAAAAATAATAATAATAAAGAAAAGAAAAGTCAATTTTAACCCTTTAATTTAAATGGTACTTTGACAAATGCGATTAAAGGGGTGGTGGGACTTTGAGATATGAACACAGTTAATCTCAAACATACGTTACCCTGAGACGGGTATGAAATATCTATAAGACTCATTTTTGTGAATACATGGGCAATAGGAAGAGATCCTGAAGCCTGGGAAAAACCCAGATGAATTCTACCGTGAGAGATTTATCGCAAGTTCTATTGACTTTAAAGGGCAACATTTTGAGCTATCAGCTAATACCATTTGGTGCTGGACGAAGAATTTGCGTTCCCAGGAATTTTAATGGCACTTGCTAATCTTCTTTACAAAGTTGATTGGGAAATGCCGCCTGGGATGAAGAAGGCTGAAAGAAGACATTTAATAAGAATTAAGAGAAAGAATGATTACTGGGAGTTTTGTCTGAGGCCAAGACTACAGCGAAGGTGTCAGGTTCTCGGGAGCAAGTAGAGGTGTTCAAAAAAATGCAAAAACCGAACCGAACTGTTAACCAAACCGGAAAACCGGTTAACCAAAAAAAAGGTTAGGTTATGGTTCAAAAAATTCAAAAAACCGAATTTTCGGATCAGGAAAAAATAAAAAGCGGTTAACCGAAACCTTTTTTTGAACCGGTTTTAAAAATAAAAATAAAAATTATATATTAAATAAAATAATAATATTATATATTAAATAAATAAAAATATTATATATTATATATTAAATAAAATAATAATAATATTTTTAATGTATTGGTAGTAGCGTTCAATAGATATGTATGAATGTTTAATTTTTATTTAGATATGTATTATTTATATTTACAATTTAATTTAGGAAAAAATAAAAAAAATAAGTTTTATAAAAAAAAATGGGGAAAACCGGTTCGATTTCGGTTTGGGAATTTTTCCGAATTGAAAAACCGGTTCGGTTCAAAAAAGCCGGTTAACCGCTTTTGAACACTCCTAGGAGCAAGTAGGTGGTTTTGAGTAGTCGAGATTGAGTATTGGAAATTGTTCTATAATGAGAGGGCAAGCTTTTGTTTTTATAGCGAACTCAAGGGGTTGGAATCCTAGTATGACACTAAGTCCTACTTTGGGAGATAATCCCTTTCAAGAAAGAAAGATGATTTCTTATCCTTATCATATTGGGCTTACTAGTTTCAGTAAGATTCATGATCTTAACAGAAGAGGAAATAGAATATGATTCTGATTTCCTATTTATGGACTGTTGTATGCTAGTGGGCCGATAATCCAATTTAGCTTAACTCATAGGATAACCCAACTCATAGAGTGGGCAGCTCACAAGGTGATTTTAAGCGTAAGCCTAACCAGAGTTGGGTTAAGGCCTTAAGTCGTGACATGTTTATTTTGTTATCGGGGCTCGTCAAATGCAAAACAATTTTTTGCCCATACAATTGTTTAATGAGTCACAACAATACCAAACTGACCCTTAATTTGAATGTATTTTCCTCAAATTATAAAATGAATTTAATTTGCCCACTACATTATATATTAAATACACTAACTCATTGTTATATTAGAAGGAGATTGTTGTTGATTTTCGTAAGTGTACAAAATCGTGCAAATAATAAAGTATATAAATACGGATATCGAACCCAAGGGAATTACTATTATCAATTACCAATTAAACTATCATATTACTATTTGATCAATCCAAATTTTATGAAAGAAGAATCTAAATTAAATAAAATTAACAATTGAAATTAAAAAGAAAACTGAATAGAGAACAATTAAAATAAACCTTTGGGTAAAAATAAGATGACTAGACCTAGGGCATAGACTTCACACCAACTCTTATTCATATATATCGATCTCTTATACTAATTTTATTAAGCTCTTTTAACAAGTCAAACTCCCTAAATTTCCAATAACTTTCTTTCAAACAATTA